GCTTTCTCTTTTCTCCAAAGTAAACAAGATAGCCCATACTCTGCTAACTAATGTATTACCAATACTGGTCAACAAATTAGTAAGAAAAATGGAGACAAGTTTGCATCTTAATTCCTAGTGCAGAGATTTTTCGCTCAAATAACTATCACAGAACACAAAATATCTTCAGGTTATTAAGGGCACTGGATAGTGTGAGGAAATGGAGAGCTGCTGTTTGCCCCTTTGTCACAATGTTAATGCAGAACACACTTCAACACTGTATTTCTTCATCTATGTAGATGTGTTTTAATGTATGAGAGAAGTGGACATCAGTACAGTAAGTCGGTGACTTATGAAGGAGTTCCTTTCCAAGAGAATGATCATAAATCAGATTTGTTTATAATCCAACAAAGTGAGTGTTCTACAGTACCCCTGTGACTCTTACACTATACACCTGTGAACGTTTGAGATGTGAAGGTTAATAGGTCAGGGACTGATTATATTCAGAAATTTTTCCCTTTTTGCTGAGATTCATTATTAACTGATTTCAAGAAGAATTTCATAGAAATTGTAAGAAGGTTTAATGAATATAAAAACAGGAGCATTAAAACCCATACTTTATGACAGTTAATTTTTGGTCTTAATCCTCTTAATGTATTATTAATTCACCTTGTAACGATAAGACCCAAACTTGTCCTTCTTTGTTCACTTTGAAACTGCTAGGGTAAAAGTCTGCAAGCAACTTTTAGGGTTCCTTGCTACCATGAATCTGGTTTTGCCCTGCCGGTCAGAAGTACCAACACCAAAAGTGAAATGAGTAAGTAGTTAGACAATCACTTCTGGCAAACTGTCCTGTAGAAACAGCAGCAGAGCAGCAGGAGTCCTTGTTCTCCTAATTAAGCATTTTAGAATCAGAAGCTAATTCTTTCAAACGAAGAGACAACTCCTGCTTGTACCCCCTGCAATGGCACCAGCAGTACTGAAGATAACTATTTTAATAATATAGCAATATTAGTGACAGGAAAGCTTGTATGGGCATTAACTCCAAGATAGTAACATCTTCCTGGTTTCTGACAAATGCTTCCTTCTATTTTATCTTCTCCAGGTCTTCCAACACCTGTGAAAATTTTTCTATAATAAATGTTTCCTGACTGAAACACCTGGATTGATGTTTCTTTCCTGACTGAACAAGAAAGAAATGTAAGTTCTCACAATAACTTGAGTGGGTACTTTGTAGATGAGTAAAATCATTCTTAAAATAGTTAAATGACTCAACAGTGTATTCTTGTGGTAGGATACAGTAAATAAAGAGAAGCAGAAAGGGGACAAGGAAAATCATAATTTAAAAATCATACTTCTAAAAAACTTGCAGCTTCAAGGCAAAGAGTTATCCAAGGTAACGACGTCTTTTTCTTTTCTTGGAAACTTATTCAAACAATTATTTTCTCAAGTGTCTTAAAGGTGTAATATATGTACCTGTCAACTGGGCCTATGCTTTTCACCTATAAATTGAGGCTGTCCTTTTTATTCCAGAGATTTCATCCTGTACAACATAATACTATTAACTGGGTAGTATATCTTTAAATTTCAAACATGCAAATGGTTTGCCTTCTAACCTCGTCCACTAAATGGGTAACCTGACAGATATAGGGATATACATCTTCATGTCTTGATGGCACCCCCGAATATTTCTAGCCCCAAACCATAATGTACTTTATCCTGTGAGCACCCACACTTTCTTGAGTGTGTACTTCTTTCTGCCTAATAAACCTTCCTACGCCTCTCACTGATCCTCTTGCTATTCCGTTCTGTGATGTAAGTCAGGGAACCTACAACCTACACCATGCTTGGTATGAGTTTGGCTCCCCATCTCCTCTTTGAGGGACCCCCCACCTAGTGAGATTCTGACTTCACAAGTAGAAGAGAATCAGAACTAGTTCTATTGGCCTCAATATTATGCAATGTTAAAATCTAGCTATTTAAACACGTTTTACAAACATTGAATGCATTTTTTAAAAATTTAAATTCATACATGGTAAATACATGAAATTTGCAAAAAATACAGAAAACCAGTATGGCTTTCTAAGTCCCTACATGAACTGAATAGCACCCTATCACTCCCTAGACCTAGACCCTTTACTTGATGTGACTTATAATTTAATAAGTACCTAACACATAGGCTGTCACACATATCCACAGTAAGAGAGGGTGTAAGGTCAATTTTGAGGTACCCATCAACTTTCAGTTGATGTCTCATGAGAAAATGCTATTAATAATGAAAAAGACAGTCACTGAAAGGGTAAGGAAAAAGAAAAATACAGTGAGGCATACAGACAGAAAAAATCTGTATTACTACTTTCAGACATAAAATTACATTTTACAAAGGTAAATGGAAAGATGGACTCAAAGTATGTGTGTATGACCCAATTTACGTCCCTTTTCATATTTCTCGGTAGCATCCATCTGCTAGCACTCAGTGCTGCTCGTAAAGACCCCGAACTGCCCCCTCTGCCTCCCCGACAAACTGCTTGTTGTCTGGACAACCTCTGACTGTCAGGGCTCCTGAACAGCCCTCACCATAGTTTTGCTCTATCTTTGCCTCTGGATCTGTTTTCTAGGTCTTCTTGATTAAGAAAAGTAAAGAAGATCATTCTTAATGAAATGTAGATACATTTTAGTTAGAAAATTTCACTCAAATTTGTACTATACTATTTTTGTTAAATTTACTATGTGACTATATGCTTTATACATTATTGATAGCTTGCAATTTACCGATGTATATAATATATTTATGCTCCAGTTTAGGGTACTTGGATCTTGTTTTCCAACCATAAATTATTAGAGGGTTTTATCTTCATTTTTATGCTCTGTTGGTCAAGACTAGATTTTTATGTGATGCTTGATCCTCCACTCTCCAAATCCTCCACTTCCAATTAAAACACGGCTCCTACAGCAATGCTATCAATTTTTCAACAATTCATTTTATTATGCCCTTTGAGATATATATTATCACAAAACTTCCTATTCCTTCAATCTGAAAAAACAGGCAGAATTGATCACTGGTCATTTACTGAGTATGGGGGATCAATTAGACCCTAAGGCAGCATTGTCACAAATATGCTAATGTGACAAAGCTGGAGGAAGACACTGGGAACAATCAGAGGCCTATTGTACACCAAGAGGTTTTTAGTGGTGTTGACCAGGAATTTCCTTTTCTTTCTTTTTAAAAGTATTTTGCAGCTCATGAAGGCACAGATATATCATTTATTCTCTCTGTGCTTAGTTCACTCTTTTGGAAAATGAAGACAATAATAATAATATTGCCTCATAGTGGTACTGTGAAGAGAAGAAAAGAATTACTATATGTCAGGTATTTAGAATTGTGCCTTTAGAAGTATGATTGTTCATTCATTCTGGTACTTGACGTTGAATCCAGAACGTTCACTGAGCTACATTCCCCAGCCCTTTTTAATTTTTTATTTTATTTTATTTTAAGATAGGAACTCACTACGTCACTAAATTGCCCAGGTTGGGCTTAAACTTGCCATCCTTATGCTTAGCCTCCCACAGTGTGGGGATCATGGGTGTGCACCACTATGCCTGGCTGTCAGCTAATTTTTAAATGCATGATACCAGTTTTTTTCTGTTCAGTCCTGGGACTGAACACAGGGCCTCAAGCTAAACTATTCCTCTAGCACTTTTATTTTTATTTTGAGACAGGTTCTTGCTAAGTTGGCATGAAACTTGTCATTCTCCTAATTTAGGCTTCCATGAAACTGAGATTACAGGTACTATCTTTTTTCATAGGTTTTTCAAGCTTTTTAAAAGCCTCTAAAACAAGCAACAAATAAAATTTAAATACAAAATGATTCCATGAATTACTTATGAAAGTATTCAAAAGAAAATAAGCTTCCTTTTAATAATTAGTTGATAAGAAATTAGATGATCATATTACAGAAAACAAATATAAAATTGGGTAAAATTATTAAAAATAATCATTTCAGGATATTAAAAATCGACCAAAAGTAGGCAGCTAGTTGAGTATTGTTTATTCATGGAATATTGTTAATTCACCAGGTGGGAGTAGGGATATTTTGGCCATATTGCTGGGACATTCCCTAACCTAGAGAGTTTAGTTGGAAAAATCTCCTGGCTGCACAGTCGGTGTTTTTAGACTCAGTTAAGATCTGAAAACAAAGCAACGAGTCATATGAGTGGGAAGTTTTAGAAGTAAGGGTGATATAAAAAGGCTGAAATGATAAACTCTCCATATATCCCTGGTTCGCTCTTAAACTTCTCTGCACGTGGAGCAAAGTAGGGATTCAGTTAAAAATGGAGAGCCTTAGGGGAGAGTTAAGGATTTGCTGTGCTTTTGTGTCTGTTTGTGAACACAACTCCGAGGCAGAGGATAGAGCCTTGCTGGGTAGGGGCGTGGGACCATAACCTCAGGCTATGTCACTAGGTGACTCTGAAATTGCAGGGGAACCAGCCTATCAAACACTGAAGGGAAACATTAGAGACTGCACTCTGCACAGCAGAAAGGTTTTGTAGTTTAAGTCCAAAAAATGTAATTGCCTATTAAAACTCAAAAATACAACACTGCACAGAAAAAAAAAAAAAACCTAACTGCAACATATGATTTCCATTGTTCAGTTTCTCACAAGATAAATAAAAACAAGGAAGGAAGAAGAAAGTAAAGCAAACATGAATTAGGAAAAAAGGAAGGAGAGATGGAAAGGAAGGATGGGACGGAGAGAGGGACAAAGGGAAGGAGGAGAGGAAAGAAGGGAAGGAAAGGATGAGGGAGGGAGAAAAGGAGGATCGATTTGAACATAGTAAAAAAGATTCGGGTTGGGAAATTAATCTCCTACTTGAAGGGGAAGTATAACATTACAAAGAACTTTACTGCCATTTGTGACCTAATTCAGGTCCTTATTAAAGTCACAAGAGAGGAAATGGGGATTTATGACTTCATGGAGTTTAGCCTCCTGCCTAAAATAGCACAGCTGAGCTAACTAGTAACAGAGTAAGTTTCTTGAATCTGAGCCTGCCTGAGTTCATTCCATCAAACATCACACCAGAATTTTCAAATCCCTGGATTCCAAAGTGAGTGAATTTGTTGCTACGGGAGAAAGACAGTAGGTTTTCTGTTATCATTTATATTCTGAACATTCCCTGAACCATAATGAGTGACTGAGTTTGACCTCCCCACAGCCAGCGATTCTTTGACTTTGTATTAAAGTGCTCTGTTTTCAGCTGTTGGAAAAGTAGAGTGAAGATTGTCACTTTCTGGCGTGGGAGGGATGCGGACCTGTTTGTAATCTCCCTCCCATTGTTTGCTGTCATTCTAAGATGCTGGTTGACAAATAGGTCAGATTTTGTATGAATAAGAATACTCCCTTCCTGGAGGGGTTATCTAGTTTCCATTCAAGGGCATAATTATGTGCTGTGCAGCTCTCCCAAATATCTTCATACATGCTGAAGGCTACCAGCTGAGCTTGTATTGTTATACGAAAGTCCACACTACTTTCTTCAGAAAACACAGATTATGTGATTGTTGTTCCTTGCAAGCCTCTAGAGATGAATGCTCTGATATTTACAGCTGCACATGCACATTTCTAAAAATTTATTGTGCAGGACTCCATTCAGATAGTTTTACTAATAGCAGCCTACTCATCCTAGGAGCAGGGCCATCATACAAGAGCTTCCAGAACCTTGTCAGACAGCAAGGATTTAATGTCCATTAGCACTGAATAAGGATTTCATCACTAGGTCATCACAAAATTGGAAAGAACACTGTAAAAGAAACAGATTTGGAGAGAAAGCTGTCTTCTCGCTGAAGCATTTTCTGTGGTAAATGCTAATGGGTAAGTTTATTTTGTGGGCTTGTATGAATCTCCCTTCTCGGTACTTATCTAAGTGTATCCACATCCTCTTTGCTTTTCAAAAGGAGGACAGAGACAGCTACGAAGTGAAAGCAAGCAGATTGAAGCCACTCCGAGAAAAGTAAGGGTGATTTTAATTGGTTACTGTTAGTATAGAAATAAGAATCTGAATAAGGTTTTACTCAGAAACATTAAAGAAAGTAAGTGGAGGGAAACAAATTGCTATTCTGTGTAGAAAATTATTTTCCCAAGGGCATGACAGATCTCTAGATAACAAAATCGGGTATAAATGCTAATACTTATGATGAACAGGCATCCAAGAGTTTTTTGTGCCCACAAGGCATTGCTGAAACGATGCCAATGGCTGTATTAACCATGTTCTAGCTTCTGTAAATTTGATGCTTTAACTACTGCCCTACATGCACATGCCAGGCATGCATCCTCTCTGGCAAGATGATAATATGCCTGTGCCTAAATCACCTTGCTTTGGCCACCTGCCATCCCAGTCCTCTGCCCCCACCCAGGAATCCTATTCCCCAAGGGTTCACTTTTCACGTACAAGCCAGCCAACCCAAAGCCCATCCTCTACCTCCTTCACTATGCTATTTCACTCAGAGTAACTATTCACCTGTTCTAGTTACCCCAGCACAGACAAGCAGTCAACTACATACAAAGCTTATGCTAATTACTGAAAGTAGCCAATCCTAAGCCCACTTCTCTGCCTCATCCATTTCTTCTGGGAAACCACAATACAAGCTCTCAGCACCATGCTCCCTTCTATTTCCTGCATTTCCCGGGCTGTGCAATGTGCACTCCACAGCACAGCACAGCACAGTGGGCTCCTTCTCTTGGGAATGCGAGTATGTGAGCTGTCCTTTCAGTGGTAGTCCTCTAAGCAACTGGCCATACTACCGCTCCAATTTCCTATCACAACAATATATTTTAAGCCACTGCTTATGTATTATGGCCATCACACTTTATACATTACCCCAGAAAAATGGTTATAAACTACTGGTCTAGGGATTACCATGTGATACGCAGCGGTCATCTATAGACTGGAAAGTGGCCTAAGAGTTGGTCAGGTATCAAGTTATGTGGGCATGAATTTCTGTGACTGTAAGTGGAAAAATAATGAGTCAAGAATGCGGACTAATCAGTAACTACTCTTCCTGCTGAGCCTCAACTTGTGCTCTTTAGCAGTTCCTGTAAGTTTATTAGAGATGCAGCACTTCAGATCTTCCTCCAGAACTATTGGATCAGAATCTGAATTTTAACAAGCATTTTAAAATGAACTGTATGCTCATTAAATTTGCAAAAGACCACCTGCAATCATGAGAATAAATCTTTCCATACCCCAAGCTGTTGAAATCTGAATTCCTTCACTGCATTTACACCCATTGCAAAGAGTCCATGTTTCCCATGGGATGCTCGCAACCTGTGGCTGACTATGCAGAGCATTGTTCAGAGGACAGTGGAATTTGGCTCAAGGAGTTCCGGTGGCCTTGCTGAATTTTCATTAGAATGCCATTCTGAGATGTTTGCACCAGTCTTCCTCCATTCCTCTCTACTTCACCTGAGTCAGACCTGCATTAGAATCCAGTAGCTTTCCCAGCATCACTGCATTTTCTCTCCCTGACATTTCCCTGATACACTGTGTGTAGACCTTTGATCTTATTTTAGAGTCTGCTTATTGAACAACCTAGATCAGTAGTGGCGAACCTGCAGCATGCATGCCATAATGGGCTATTTGTTATCATTGAAAGCCCTAAAAGCTTTGCCATCATTGACCTTAATTAACATACACGTTTAATCATTTTAAATGGTAGCTTTCTAGACCTGTGGAAACTACAAAACTGACCCCAAGAAACTGGGTGAAATTGCCTTACATAGTCAAGGAGGCAGACATGCATCTTGCTTTCTTCTGAGAAGCAGTCTCACATATCACTTTCTGTAATTATGGCCCAAATTGAATGGCAGGGACAGCTTGGACCCTACATGAGTACACAGAAAAGATAAGCAATGTATATTCTATGAAATCATCTTTGAAATCTAATTTTTTGCTCAATTATATTTGTAATATATCATCAGTCAGTTTAGGTTTAAAGAGTAATGTATATTTAAAGGACAAGTGTTAGAATTATTGCTGCTATTCTGGGCACATTCTTAAGAAGAAAAGAGAGTCTGCCTACATGGATCAGATGGGAAGAAATTATCCAACAGCAACCTTCTCAGCAGCTCACTAAAGGTGAGGGAGAATGGGGAGGACCTAAACTGATATAGTAATGACTACCATTTTGCCAGAATATTCAAGAAAAGGACTTTCTTTTCCAACTACATTGTGTTCCATGTATGACATATATACTTTTATGAATTTCTGCTGTATTGTAAGAATGCTACAAATTCAAGTCATCGTCTGGAAACAGATATTACAAACCATGACTCAGGAAACTAGAGATGACTAGACACGGTCTTCATAGTAGGCATAGCTGGAAGGCAAGGCATGTTCCACATATTAAGGAGACACTCTCATCCACAGTGTCTCATTCCTCTGTTCTATACCTAGAAAGTGGGTGTCATCTCTGTTTAACAGAAGAGGAAGCCAGGACTCACAGCCATTATGTGATCTGAACTGAAAACTATGCAACAAACCCAGGTAATCTGAACTTAAATAGTAGGTCTGCTTTGTACCAATCCCCATGTTATTTTATGGCTCTACAGCTCAAGAGAAAGGCATAAACAGGAAAGTACACAGTTATACTACCTACATGTACAGCAACATACAATTTTCAGGACATATTTGCACATCTCTGCCTTTCAATCACATACAGTATTCATTTGTACAGAATGCGAGATGTGTTTAAATGTGGAACAGCTCTGATGTTGAAACACGCCCCAGGGCTGGAAGCAGGAGTGGGGATGGCAGCCAAAGGACAAGAGAATTTTTTTTTGCAGGAAGCATGGGGGGATGGGTGCTATCAACTGATTTGGGTAGAAATGTTCAACGTTTTACCTAGGGTGGCAGCTACACAAGTATATATAGTTCCCACAACTTCTTCAACAGTAGTGTATACTTGTGATTGAATTTTGTCACAATTAAAACTCAATAAAGTTAATTTTAAGAACTGAAACTGTCCCAGCATTATAACTATGGTATGCTTGCTTCCAGATTATAATATAGGAACACTGTTCAGCTGCATGATATGCTGTAAACTGTGATGATAAAGTGAAGATTTTCTATAAATATGTATTTTCTCTCCTGCCTCTTTAGAAAGACTTCTTGCTTTTGAGAATCTGTTATTATATAATATATGTAATATGCAATAATAATTGACAGCTAAAATTATATAGGAATATTTTTCCCCAGTCACATCATATTCCATATATATATGTGCATATATATATATATATATACATATATACTGCGTGATTTTCTGCAGTACTCTAAGAATCTTATAAATTTATATACATAAAAATAAACATTATGAGCCATAACCCACTAAGTGGCATTGTGAATGGATGACACTGAACAGAAGTGGTCTTTATATGTACTAACAGTAATTTTAGGAAAAGATGTATGTAGCACTTATTAATCAAATTGATGATTTCTTGAAGATTAAAATTCCCAAATGATTTCAGTTGATAAAGATAATATTTCTGCAGCCATAATGTTTCGCCATATTTTACTCCTAGTCCACAGGAAAGTTAACTTGCTTCTGAAGCGCTGTCTTACTACCTAAGGTCAAGTGTAGCAACAAGTGAGGTTGTATTCAGTTTTCCCGTGAGGTTTCAAGGTTTTATTAATACAGTCAGTGTACTTGTGCACTCCATCTCAAATATCAGAGTTGTTTCTAACTTTTCTCTCTCCCTCCCTTCCTCCTCCCTTTTCTCTGCCTTTGTCTCTGTCTGTCTCTCTGTCTATATACACATATGTATATATGTATATATGCACAGACATACAGATGTACACATATATGATAGATGCATGTGTATGTATGTGTACTGCGTGTATATATGTGTCTATTATTAAGGATTTATGGTGCATAGTGACTGACTTAGTAAAAGAACTGCTATAGTTCAAAGTCATTACGATAAAAGCACGTTAATGCTGGGAGATAATAATCATAGGATGCTATCCTCAGTGTATAAAACTTGACTTAATCATCCTTGTTTTTTATCTAATATAGTTTAAGGCAACACTAAAATGTAACACTATACATCCTCTTCATTGGTTTATGAGTTTCTTGTAATTAGGTTTAGGAGGAGCACTGAGAGAAGCAAATCAACGTTGGCTTCTTGTACATTGATCATCAGCGCCCATTAATCCTTTCCTGCTTAAATTACTCAATTCATTAGCCAGACCACCTCCACCAAAGCACTTCCACTTGCATTCAGGGGAAGCTTAGCATTCTTCCTTGGGGGAAGTCCTGCTTAAATTTATGTATCTGACCTCACAATTAACCACTGAATTTAACTTACCTTTCTCTTTGGTGCTTAAGAGATGCTAATCTCCTTGCTAAACCACAATTAAAGGAGAAAGTCACTGGCAGTTTTCTTGAGGAAATCTTGACTTAAATTCAAATTGCCTAAATAATTTCTGTAGTAAAATCATATTGGTAGTTATTGATGATCTTTTTAAACTTTCTATTTAAATCACACTTCCCATCTCTGAAGCAATCAGAAGGGGTATCAACTAATACAAGTAAAAGCAAAATCAATGGAAGAGTAGATTCATTTTTATAATATATCATATGATAAAATCCATCAAAACCTTTTTGAAATGATATGCTTTGACATTTTTAATAATAAGAGATCTTTACCGAAATTATTGTCATTTTCTTAGACAGCACAGATGTCGTTTGGATGCAGAACACCATGATATAACATTGAAATTATTTTACTATTTGGAATAAATTCACTCAGTATTACAGGATTATTTGGAATGTATTTTAAGTACTTCATAGGAAGAACTATACCATGTTCTATTAAGAGGTTGTATTTCTAGATTGTGAACCTTTTTTTTTTTGTATATGAATACTCTCCAGTGTTGATAGAGGTACATTTTCATGTATCAATTGTATCTAATAACAAAGGGGGTATAGGGAATACTTCTATAATTGTATGAAAGTGTCCTATGTAAAGCAGTACACATCCCTATAGAAAATTCTTTTTGTATAAGTAGCATCACAAATTGGCATGATTCTAAATGTCACATGTTTTCTTGCATGCAGTTGCTTTTGCTCCTTTGTGAGGTATTGGAGTTTTTAATGTTACAAATCTAGCAAAACTGGAAAATCCTACTTTTTTTTCTCTGATAAAAAACACAGAACCTAAAACATATTAACTACAGCCACAGTGCCCAATTTCAAAGATCCTTCCTTTTGCTACTATCAAGTTGTAGGCTCCACTGAGTCTGTGATAGGGCACTGAGTGCTGGACTTGGTGACATATACTTACAAGATGCACAATAATTCTTGGGAGTGCCTTTGATATATTTTATACTAAATAAAATGCAGTCCATCAATGTCAGATTCTACAATAGTGCTCTGCAGATATCATTTTGTTTAATTCTCACAGAAGCCCTCAGAAATACATATTTGTTTGCTCTTATGATTTGGAGTTGTAATAGCCTCCAAAAGCTCATATGTTAAAGGACTTATCTCCAATGCAGTAATATTCAGAGGGGGCCTTTGAACTGATAGGATAATGAGGACTCTGATCTCACTGATGACTTAACCCACTGGTGGATTCATAGTTTATGGACTACTGGAAGATTGGAGGACCTGGAAGCGGTGGACCCTAGTTGGAGGAAACACATCACTGGGTTGGAAAGTTAATTTTGTCTTCTGGCCACCTTTTTTTGTTTTGTTTTGTTTTGCTTTGCTCTCTCTACCTCTAGTGCATTATGACTGAACCACTTTGTTCCACCACATGACCACCATGATATTCTACCTCAAAATAGGCCCCAAAGCAATGAAGACAAGTATTGATTGCAAACTCTGAAACTTGGAGGCAAAATAAATCTCTTTGCCTTTTACCTGGTATTCTCAGGCATTTTGTCATAGTGACAGAAAGCTAACACACACACCTACTTCACAGATTTAAAAACTACTGTCAGAGAATTTCAAATGCCTCTCAGCCCTGCAAAATAGTAAGTTACAGAACTAGAAAGCAAACTAAGTATTCCTAACTTACAGCTTAGACTTCTTTAATGTCTCATTTGCTTTATTGGTGTGTCATGCTTTAGGCCATGGCAATGCTATAGAATAAGCTGATATCTGTTATACTGAAATGAGAACTGAGTCATCAGCCTGAATATGCATATCTGAAATGTCTAAACTTTGCCACTGAGTCAAAAAGACATATCTGAATCCTCCATATAATTGCTTTATATTTCTCACAGTAGATCTAAGTTTAGATTCAGAGTTCACATTTGGCTTCTATTAGCTTTGATAATATTTCATTTAAATCACCCAGGCAGATTTCACTATTCAATATTGAATTCCTTATGCTGAGATTTCATAGTGGTTATTTTAATTAGTACAAATTTCACTACTGATGATTCTTCAAGGAAACCTTTCATTGGAGAATTTTTGTCTAAATCTCATGCTGAAATCTATGTCCTGATACATCTGGTTTTGTTCACTTTTCTCTTTATTATTGGAGATTAGGCACTGTTACTATCCCTTCTCATTTTATATTTCTTCATGAGCTACATCTCTTTTAACCAAGATATTTTACCTTTATATACTCTCCAGGGTTTTTTAGTTTTAGTTCCCTCATAGTTGATCCTGAGTCATACTGTATTTTCTGTCCTCACACATGTTCTTCCTCCAAAGATGTCTTCAAGTGTGTATGGGTGGGGCTGGGGATTTAGCTCAGCAGCAAAGCACCTGCCTGGCAAGTGCAAGGTCATGAGTTCGGTTCCCCAGTACCGGAGAAAAACCAAAAACCAAAAACAAACAAACAAACAAAAGTGTGTATGGGTGTGTTACGGTTAGTGTCTGGATGTCCCCGCAAAGCTTCATGCAGTCGTGGGGCAGGTTTTTAGAGTTTATGATTGATCCATGAGCCAATGCTGGGATTATGGGTGTGCTACACTTGCCCTGGGGTGGATAGTTTGCATATGTAAGGGAGAGAAAGGGCTACTTACTGTCATTCCTCCCTTTTGCTTGTGTTGCTTTTGCTGTCTTATGTCACTATGAATGGTTGACCTCTGCGATGTGCCACTCTGCCTTGGGGCCAGCCAAGTACAGGCTGAAACCTCCACACCCTTTTGGGTGTTGGGTATTTTGTCTAAGCAATAAGAGAAAAGTAACCAAGACAGGGTGTGTTAAGGGTCATGTGTTATAGTCACTTCATGGTATTTTTCGTTTCAGTTGTAGTCACTACATGGTATTTTTCAGTCTGTCCTGTTCTGGTTTGGCTTATGTTTCCAATTGTTTATGTGCTGTTTTTATGATGCCACTAGAAGAACCCTCAATATTGTTATGATTTTTATCTATTGATAGGTATTGGTAAAACTTAAGTCAATGCTTGTTAGATGTAAAAAAAAAAAAAAGCAACTTCATCGTATTTTAGAAAACCCTTCAGTGCTGATAGTTTAGTATTTTTATCCATAATCTCCTGAAAGATCATAAGTTGATGAGCTAGGAT